GGTGCAATTAGAGTGTGTAATGTGGTTATGTTGACACTCATGCAAATGTTTGAAATATCTCTCCCTGTGCCACTCCCTCCCCCCCAATGCCTTCTTTCTCCCTTTTCCTGTTCTGCTTAAATCTTACTGTTGTTTGATATGCTAGGAAATTAAACATTCTTGCCTTTCAACCCTGCAGGCATTAAACAGCCACAGAAGAGAAAAGAGTTGGTGCTTTTCATTTGAACCATTGTAAACCAATGGTATATCTCATTTTTTGATGTCTAAACAACTCTCTGTTCATTGTTCACAGCCTCACAGAGGAGGTCTTTTGGGTGCAGAGGTAGAAATGCTTCACTTCTTGTGTTGGCTAGAGATAGTCTAGCATTTAGATATCAAGTTAAATATTGTCAATTAGCATATAGCTTTTTGTCAGTGGTCAAGTCCACAAAAATTCGTTTGCAGTGAGCAAAGATACAGCCAAGAAGTTCTAGAAGGACAGCTTTTCATTCTGTGCAAGACTGATTTAAAGGTCAACTGGACTGGAATTCAGTTAAGGATTGGATTATATTATATTCCTTGTGTGTATATGACTGAATATACATTGGTAGGTACAAAAATGCACACAGAACCCAGCAATCACCACACCACCTTTTCCACCCCCTACTTTTTAATTTTCAGGAGTTGACATGCTCAAGTTTCAATGAAACTGCTGTCTTACTGGTAATGAAGTGTGATTATTGGATTGATCTTCCTTACATTTACAGGTCATGTTTGGCCATCACTGCTACATGGAATGTAATATTGGTTCATTATTGTATTTAAGCCTGCTTAATTTGATGAAGAACAGATTGAAATTTGCACCATGTTTATATGAGTACGTAGTTCTGAATCTCACAGTTTATCACAGCACATGAATATGTGAGGAAAATGAAACATTTTACACTTAGACTTGTAATATTTGGTGTGTCTAATGACACAATCAGATTGAAGATAGTCAGTCTTTTAATTATATCTTATTTCCAAAATTGAGCTTTGTCTGAGCAGCTCAGCCACTGTGTGGACTTACTTAATACTGATTACATTTTTTAAAATGTAATTGTTGGTCAAAAATGGGAGAAAAAGGTCCCCAAATTCCTTGTTGCCACAGTACTGGCAGGCACATGAGTAATCCATATAATCTGGTGTTCTTCAAGAAAGATGTGAACTGAGCTAAACACAAATCTGAATTTCACACTCAGTGGAGGACAAAGCAGGTGATCAGAAGAGGAAGTTTAAATTGCCCCAGTTGAAGGCTGAAAGTGTCATCAAACAGATACTGTACAATACCCATCACACCTCTTGGAAAGCTGTCCATGTCTGCTCTTTTTGCAGAAAGCTCTTTTGATTTGTGAAAGACTAAAGTATCTGAAAGTAACATTTTAGCTCTGCTGGCTTCTCTTAGGAGACCCCTCCTCTCTCCACTTTCTCCTTTCCTTCCCTCTTTCTTTCCCCCTTCCCTCTTTACCCCTTGTCTTGTTATTCCTATTCCCTTTTTCCCCTTCCCTTTTTCCTTCCCCATAAAAGCCCATCCAAAAATATTAACTGAGTTATGGGGTGCCATATACATTTTTATTTAAAAAAAACCCCAACCTTGCAAGAGAATCCAGTTGACTTTTAAATCTTTTTTACTAGACTTTCACACATTTAATGTCCATGTCTTCCACAACCATAGAATTCTGGTAATACTGGTAATACTGTTTACTTGAAAAACACAGCTTTAAGATGTCTTATCCCTTTGCAAACCATTCACTGCAGCTTGGACTTTTCAACATTTTAAATATTGTTATCTCTCCTTGGGAAGATGACGTTTAAACATTGTCGTTAAACGACATACTTGAAATTGCTTTTTGACTTGAGTCTGCAATCCGTATGGTAATATCTGTGAGTCTATGTTGTGATTTTTTTTTTGTAACTGATTGAGCAACTTATTGCAAGTGGAGCAATCAGTTTACAAATCACAGTGGAAAATTTTCTGTGATGATTTCTAATATTTCACAAAATACATATTTGCTTGTTGTATACTGAATTGGCAAAGTGTAAAAGATAATGTGGGTAGGAGTTAAGTTTCTCTGAGCTGCATATCTAAATATGTCTACAAAATCTAAGGGCTTTTTTGTTCTGAGGTTGTTTTTTTTGTTGTTGTTGTTGTTTTTTTGGGTTTTTTGTGCTTTCTGTTTGTTTGGATTTTTTAAAATATAACCAGAATTTAGTTTCAGCAAATTGGACACAATACAGATAGGAAAGACAGTGTCCAAAGTAATTAATTACTTCATCAGTGCTTTCTTCTTAAAATAAGAGTGTAGAAATCCTTTAAGCAGAAAGCACACTAGAGTGTTAGTATTTTAACAGTCACGAGGCAAAAAGAGGATGTATCTCCTTATTTTTGAGTATTGAAGTGGCAGAAGACGCCAAGCACCTTAACAAATAAATTTCCAGAAACAGAAAAAAACCAGGAAAAACAGGAAAAAAAAACCCAACCTAGATTCTCAGAGTGCTGTCAATGAAAAGGGATGAGACATCTGAAGGTGTGCAGGTTCCTTGATACTGGATTGCTTTCTGTAGAGAATGTCACCAGTCTTTGCAGAGCATGGCTCATGATGACAGTCTCATTTCAGTCCACCACAGGCAGAATGAAAGGCCTCCATTGGGATGGATAAGAATTTCAGATTGTATTTTCAAACTTGACCACTGCACCATGTTTTTTTTTCCCTTGTTATCTTGCTTTGTCATTGTTCGCTCTCTGCTCTAGCATACTACTTGTAGGCAGTCCAGATATGTGCTGCATTGTATGATTATTTTCTTAGTTTCAGCAAATGTGTGCATTCTAGATCACTTTTTGTAGCTGTTGTCTGCATGGCACTGCATGTGAAGTCATCTTGCTGTCTAGGACATTGTGGAAGTCTGTGTAGAAGATTTCTCTGTGTTCCTTTGTGCAGTGCTAGCTTGGAGCATACACTGAAAATAAAAGTTTGTGTTTCACTGTTGTTGCTGTGCCTTGCATGTGTGTGTTGCTGTGTATGCCAAGTTATAGGTACTGCAGGATGTGCAGTAATTAATTATTTTCAAGTAAATATGAAACAAAAAAGTGAAATCAGGCAACAATCTCTGCTCCCTTAGGTAGAGAGCTGCATACCTGTGCCTTGTGTCACCCATCCTGTTCTGTAAATGCAGCCTAGTTCTGCTCAGAACTTACAGAAAAGCATGGGACCAAGCTGGGTGGGAGACTGTCAGTGCATGCACACTTATCCATGCTCTGATTGTGACTTCTTAGCTGACAGTCATGCATAACTACCACAGGTTAAATTTCAAAGATATTTAAAGGAACTGATTCCTCATAGGAGTGTTGGTTTGGTGTTTTATTTGAAGAGACTGGAAAGGGCATGATAGGAATGGAGGTTTTGGATTGTTAGGTGAAGGAGCAACAGGAGAGCAGCCCAATGCAAGTGTGTTTTGGGTAGCATCACAGGACACTTCAGAAGGAAATAATGCATTAGCAATTTTGATGGAAAAATACTGATTAAATACAGAGAAGAACAAATTTCACTTTCTGAAGAAGAGCCAATTTCAACACCGAGAATTCATATCTCCGTTTACAAATTTGTTAGTATTCTGGTTTCAGCTGGAATAGAGTTAATTAAATACTGGAGTATAAATTGGAGGGATAACAAAAAAAAATAGTAATACAAAAGAGAGGAATAAAATCCAAGAGAAACAAATAATGCACAATAAAATTTTTCATCCAGTGTCCACCCTGTCACACCTGACTGCCCCTAGTTTATGTCATGTCCAGGACATGTTATGGTTTGGAATATCCCTTTGGCTGTTTGGGTCAGCTGTCCTGGCTGTTCTCCCTCCTGGGTTTTCATGCACCTGCTCTCTGGTGAAGCATGGAAAACTGCAAACTCCTGGATTTAGGGTGAGCACTACTTAGCAACAGCCAAAACATCAGTGTGCAGTAACCTAATACTGAATCTAAACCATAGCACTGTACTAGCTATTAAGAAAATGATCTCTAACCCAGATGAAATCAGGACAGTTAGTCCTGATTTCAATATGCAGTCCTCTCAAACAGATCTTAAAGCAATACAGCAGCACTACAGAATATGGGTTTTTTTTTGGTTTCTTTGTGAGGGGAAGCTGAGAGAATACAAGTTAAGCCTAAAGACTGGCTTAGCCTGTTTTTGAAATACATAAAGGATTCTTTCTGGTAGTTGCAGCCTGTGGGTTCATGAGTGAGACAGGATGCACTCCTGGTTTGATAACTTCAGGAGTATTACCTTGTGAATAACCTCTGAATCTGTGTGAGCCATCTCCTTACAGACTCAAAAGGCTTCTTAAGTTAGTGGCTTTTCTTAAGCCTGTGATTTTACTTTGGAGAAAGGAGGAAATTTGTGTGTAGCTGTTTGGTGCAGCTTCTCTGCAGCTCCCTCTTTAGAAATTAATAGAGCTAGATGTATGCTGTTTAACTCTCTCCCTGTGGAGATCTGTGGTTCCTCAGTTCAGGGTAGAGTTAACTGAAGATATAACTACCTCAGATTCCTCTTTGGTGTGCAGGGCTTATTTAGCAGCCCTCCTTTATTGAAGCCTTTCAGGAGGGGCCAAGTGAGCCTCAGCATTTTTTGACTAAATTATTTGATGATGTCGCTGTTGAGTAAGAAACGTCACAGACTCACCAAAAGGCAGGCTTGCACAGCGTAGCAGCTTTACTTTGGATTTTCCTTTTTATACATTGTTCCAATACAGATAGACCTGATTGGTCAATTAATCAATGCATTTCACCTGATTGGCTAATTAACAAAATGCCTGTCTTGTAAACAGTCTTTGAGAAAAACAAGGAAACAGAGACTAGAAAAGCAACACCTGCAGGTTGTTTATAATAATAAGCTATCATTTATCTTCAACTACCTGAAGTCTCACTTTGATTCTGGGGAAACTTACCTAGTTTTCTTGCTCTCTGACCAGACTGTCAGATCCACAAGATACCACACTGTTCCCTTGTTTTCCTGGGTTTTTTTGTGATGCCTCTTGGGATGAGTAAAATAAGTTTGAACTCGGCCCAAGCAAATTTCAGAAAGCTCAAGGGTGGCTATGTATTTCTGTTGCTCTGGGAGTAAGCATCTTTCACTTCAGTATGTTAGGAAGCAGTTGCTCTCTGTATGGGTAACCAGTTAGTCTAAAACCACTTGGCTTCTACAAAGTTTTGTGTTTATTGTTTCAAAAGGTTACAGCTTGAGTGCATCCAAAACTAGATAAAGTAAATGGAATTGGAAGAGCTAAATTTATATTAACATAAAATTAATTTTCAAGTAGTAGGTTGTAATGTTCTTTGGAGTCAGACCTTACACTACCTTGTCAGGGCAATTGTATTCTCTTTGGCTTGGCAGACTGCATATGAATTGGTGTTGTACTGGTTTGGATGAAGTGCTACAGTCTGGAATTGGTTCGTAAATTCCTGTGCTTCTTTTAAAATCTAAACCAGTTTGGTTTATGCTTATCCTGAATTGGGTTTTGGTGTCTACACAGGCAGAAAACGCAATTCACTGACTCCTAGATCGACTTTGTTTCCTTGTCCAAGTTGCCAGCGGGATATTGATCTCGGGGAGCGTGGCATCAATGGCTTATTTCGCAACTTCACTTTGGAAACCATTGTGGAAAGATACAGACAGGCAGCCAGGGCAGCCATTGCTATTATGTGTGATTTCTGCAAACCTCCGCCTCAGGAGTCCACAAAGAGTTGCATGGACTGCAGTGCAAGCTATTGCAATGAATGTTTCAAAATACACCATCCTTGGGGAACTGTGAAAGCCCAGCATGAATATGTAGGACCAACCACCAACTTCAGACCCAAGGTAAGTATACTGTACCTTAAAGAATTCAGGTTGCAGCATTCTCATGTAGCTGCAGACATATGGTAGTTGCTTTTCAGGACCATGATTGCTTTACTGACAATTGCTGTTATTTATTGAGTGAACCACAAGCTTGGTGGTCCTTGCTGTCATTGAAGGGGACACTGAGAACATACTTGAAGGGTCCTGTAAAAATAAGGGTTTTTACTTTGTGGAATGGATTGTGTTACTTGTGATTTGAGTATTTCTTTCTTTGTATTTTTTTTAATTTATTTTCTTTTTTAAGGCTTAATGATCACAAATAACAGAATATTCTAAGTTGGAAGGGACCCACAAGCACCATCAAGTCAGCTTTTAAGTGAATGATTCATACAGGGATTGAGTCCATATCCTTGGTGTTATTGGCACCTTGCTCTTGGGCATCTAGAATGGAATGCCTAGGGAGGATGCCTGTGTGTGTAAACTTAAAAACCCCAACACACCTGGCCTCTTCCAGGCCCCCTTTAAGTAAATCCCCTTTGGATGCTTTGTGCTTGAATTTGATCCATCACCAAGCATCTTCTTTTTCTCCTTCCTTGCATCTAACAAGAGCAAAAGGTGGAGTTATGGTCTCTATTGTTATTACACCATTATTTTTTTATCTATGGCAGAAGAGATAAAAATGTTATGGCAAAATTTCTACTTTATACACTGGTGCTGCTGTTACTGCATTCAGACAAAACAATGATAAGAAAATAGCGCTATCTTTGTGTCTCATGCTGAGCGTGGTGCAGTACGTACTTACTGAATTTATTAGATCACAGATGCTATCTTGCTAACCAGGGACCACAACAAGGGCCTTAATGTCCCAACACATGCTGTGTGCCTGTGCCTCCTTGCAGGACATCCCACAGGTGCCAGAAATGCTGATGGTCAAGGAGTCCTGATTAATTATGATTAAATTTAGTGAATTTGATTAATGTGCAATGTGTGAGAAGCTCCTGACTGCTCCTTCTGAGACTGGAAAAATTTGAGCCTCTAAAGTTAGCAGGCTGGGAGAGAGTGAACATCCAGAAGTCCACTTGGTGGTGTTTTCCTTGAGTCTAAAACATAATTCCAGTTAAAAGTGAGCACGTGCTTCATAAGCTTTTAAATGTGCTTGCACAGACATTGTGTGAAATGTCCCTCTATTGGATAAATGAGAAAGTATGCAAACTTTCACCTATCTTCTAGCTCTTGCTTTAAAATGCTATACAGCTCCTTAAAAGCTTCTCTCCTATGGCATCTAAACCCTCACAGCTGCAACATTGCTCTTGGAAAATACCAAAGGCATCTTGTGATCCCTGTGCACTCCCAAAAGTGCCCTGTGGTGTTACACTACATGCAGACTGAATTCAAGGATTAAAAGTCAGTAGCTGAATTCTCTTGAAGCAAAGCAAAACAGGGTGAAGTGGTTTAGATTATTCTGACACTGATGTATTGAGTATGTGTGCACATGTGGGATTTAGCATTTCTAATTATATGTGAGGACAGGAAGAGGGGAAAAAAGGAGAAAAGCATAATGTAGTTAAATTTAGTTACATATACTTGTTTTGAAAAACTTCCCAACTGCGGTAAGCTGATCTTTACTGTGCTCTTATAGAAACTTTTCTGAGGACTGTTTGAGCTTAATACAAAGAAAGAAAAGTGCATTTTTTGTTGCACTGCATTTTTAAGACCTGAGCTGAAAGCATAAAATATTTGTTAATTTCCTAAACAATGTTCTCAGTCACCAATTTAATTTACAACCAGGCTGGAGAAACTTTCTAGCGTGTTGTGGTGGGGATGGGAGGAGCACATACTGGGCTGATTGTTCTTGAGTTTTGAGAGAAGACAAGGCAGTCTGCTGACCTCTGCTGTCTCTTCCTTGCAGGCTGTAGTTCTTGCTTATATGAGGAGATGAATAAGAATAAGGATTTTCTGTGAGGTGTGACTACACACTGCTGTGGAAAAATTAGTTCCACAGGCTAACTAAATGACTGTAGCTTTCGGAGATGTTTGCCTGCACAGCTGATTTTCTTGGCAGCTTCCTTTTTTCCCTTTCTTCCACAGGCTAACTGAATGACTAGCTTTCGGAGATGTTTGCCTGCACAGCCGATTTTCTTGGCAGCTTCCTTTTTTCCCTTTTTTATTTCCTTCCAAATCCAGCAGTCAATCCAAATGGGATCACTAATTGCATATTTGGTTTAATGATAGTCTTAAGGTGCTGGTGAGACTGGTGCCTTTGGGCTTTTCACCATGCCTTAAGATAACATTTGAGTCTTGAAAGCTGGTTTCAGGTTTTAGCTTATTGTGTCCATATTTGTGCTGCTCACAATTTTCTATTTTTATGCCGGTTTCTGACCTTAAGTGGGGGCATATTGAAACTGAAGAGCTTCCACAAAAGCTCCTCTTTGGTAACTTCTATGGAAACGCTGTCTTTCAGTGCTCTAGAATGAGGCAAAGCAAGCATTGTTTATTTTTTTAAACAAACACTCACACACACACACACACACACGCTTTATATGGTTTAATCTGTTGCCTGAGAGTTTGGACTTGAGCAGCACTTTTTAACTCTGAGCATTTATTTCAACAAGTTTTGTTTTTGAAAGGTGATTTTTAGCCAACACCAGCTTTCTTGCAATGCTGTTTGAGATAATCCTGGAAGTAGCAGCCAGTGTGAGCAGCTTGACTGGAGTCAGACAGAAAGATTGAAACATTGGAGTCTTTTGTCTTTGAAATTACTGCAGTTGTGGGTGGTGGCTGCCCTTCGTAGCTCCAAGAGCAATGGCTGTGTGGTTTATCAAAATCCAGCTTGGACTTAAATTGCTACAATGTTATGTCAGCTCTTGCTTTAAGAAATTGTTCATAGCTGTTGCAAGAGATGCTGGCATGAGCATGGTTAAGTTTGACAGGCTGGGTGTGTTATATATTGCATTTACAACTCTGAGCCGGAGTGTGGGGTGCTGGAGGCATTGCAAACAACATGGGCAGGGTTTAGCAAAAGATTGACTACTATATGGAGGCTACACAGACACTGCTAGAGGCTTACTTAGTGTAAACCTTGTGAAACTGTGTGTGTTCATCTGCTGGCTTTCAATAGCATTGACAAATATAAAAGGTAGAAGATAAACTGACTATAAAAAAAGTCACTGATGAAGTCACATGTTGCTTTGGGTTCACTGGGTGTTTTGATTTTTTGTTGAGAACCTCCATTTTTGGAAGTACACCTGTATTGTCTCTGCTCTTTTTTTTTTCCCCACAGATTTTGATGTGTCCAGAACATGAAATGGAAAGAGTAAACATGTACTGTGAAATCTGCAGACGGCCTGTTTGTCATCTTTGCAAACTGGGTGGAGGTCATGCAAACCATAAAGTAACAACCATGAGCACTGCCTACAAAACCCTTAAGGTAAAAGAAAATATAATTGCATCTGGCCTTAAGAAGGGAAAGAGTACTTCTGATGTGAGGGCAAACTCCCAGTGGATGGAAGCCAGGATGTTAGGAGACCCTGAACTAGTTTTGAGCCCTGTCATTGTGCAACATTTGTTAATGTATATATTAATGTGATATAGGGCATGTTTTAGAAACTTAACTGTTTGCTATGATGCTTGAAACATAACCCCAGAAAAGTGCTGTCAACTTATTTCAGCTAATTGTACAGCAATACAGACAATGCAGAAGGTTTAAGTAGTTAATCAACTTTACAATCTATTTTTTTTTAATATAAGTGTTCAGGTAGCTTGTGGTAGAGGACACTTGAGAAGCCCATCTGAGAAATTTGCATCTGAAGTATCTGTTGATATCTTTGTAAGTTTCTGAAGCTGCATAGCTGTTAATTTCCTAAGCAAAGCACAACAGTAAAGACTTGCAAACATCAGATTGTTATTGAAGACAGTACCTACTTCTTCTTCTTGCTTTTCTTCCTCTCTTGCTCTCAGGAGGAAAAAAAAAAAAGAAAAAAAAAAGACCAGATTAGCCCGCCTTGTGCTATTTGGCCTTCTCACTAGTTTGCAAGGTTTTTCCTGTACAACTCCTAACTCTTGCAGCTAAGGAAGCACAGGGACAAATCTGTGATTTGAACTATTAATTTTTCTAGCAACTTTTACTACAAATGAGTTAATAACTATCAGCTCCTTTCTGTAAGTTTTAATGTCTTGAAGCCTCTTTTTCCCAATCTAAGAGAGGGTGATTGGGAGCCAGCTGACACTGTTACCTCTGATCCTTAGAGCCTGTGCCAGCAGTCTCACTCACAGTTGCTTTGCAATCACTGCAGGTCACCAAGCAATTCTCCACAGGACTGCTGCTCATAACTGGTGTCATGCTGTTGTCCTTGTGGCTAGATAAACTGAGGACAAAACAGGATGACCTGTCTGTGCTGGTTGTCACTTTGTGGGAGATGCCCTATTCTTGCTGTTTTACTTCAACAGGAGAAGCTTTCAAAAGATATCAAGTACCTCATCAGTAAGGAGAGCCAGGTGAAAGCTCACATCACTCAGCTGGATCTGCTGCTGAAAGAAACAGAGGTAAGAGTGGCTTGAAGATTGTCTGGGGTTGGCCTTTGTACAGACATAGGAAGGATTCAAAACTGTTTTCAGAGAAATTGAGTTTTTCAGTTAAGTAGTAAAACAATTTTTGAACAGTTTTTGGGAGACTAAATCACACATGGTAAGACCTAGTCCTGTCAGTATGGGAAGCAGACAAAGGGAAGTTTATTTTTGTGTGCTACTGTAAATTTAAATAAAATAAAGATTACTTGATACCTTAACCAAAGTGGCTTAAACACAGGGTGTTTGTGTGATAGTGATGGTGCACTATTTACACTGTCTATTTACTTTGAGAATGTTGGAATTAAAGGCAAAACCTCCCTGCAGAAGAGTCACATACAAGCTGAAAAACACAAAGGCAGAAATTGAAGAAGCTCCTAGTACTGGTGTGTCTTGATTACAGACTGCCTCTGTGTTTTGCAGTTTCTTTTATCCAGGGCAGTATTTAGAGGTGGCACTATGGTTCAAAGGGCATACACTAGAAGTAGGGTGGTTGGGAAACGTGGAAGAGCATCTGGCTCTTGGGCATGAAGACTTCAGAGCCTAATATGTTTTTACAGTGCTTTTTCATGAGCTATCTAGACAAATGTAATGCATAACTCAAGGTGTGATCAGAGGAATACTTTCCTGCTTTTCATTCTTGTTAAAGACATCAAATGCTGACTAGCTTGGGTAGTGTACTGATCTCATTTTCAGTGCTGAATAGCATAACAAAGCTCATTAGTCTTACCTGTCAAATGGATGACTAGATTACTGTGATGTCTTGAACAACCTTAAGTATGTTTCTTAAGTAAGAGTCACAGTGATGTAGAATCTGTCTGAAATGTCTTTTGTTTGCTCCTAGTGCAACAGTGAAAGAGCTAAACAAGAAGCATCTCAGAGTTTTGAGAAATTATATTGTGTCCTGGAAGAGAAGAAATCTGCAGCTCTTAGGGCAATTGAAACTTCTAAGAATATAAGGTTGGAAAAATTGCAAACACAAGTGGAAGAATACCAAGGGCTCCTGGAAAATAATGGCCTTGTAGGATATGCTCAAGAAGTGCTTAAAGAAACGGATCCCTCCTGTTTTGTTCAAACGGCAAAACAACTTCATGTCAGGTATCTTAAATATCTTCTTTTTGAGGTGCAAGTACTGTTCCAGGATATCTGTGCAGTTGTATTCTTGGGAGATGGTCCTGATCATGTTCAGCTGGAATTCCTGCATTAGAGTGTGCCGTAGGAAACAACACTCAGGAGAGAGGAGTGCTCTTGTCCTGCTGCAATGCCTAGCCTTGTTCAGTGGGACTGCAGTGGGAGGGTAGTCTGTTTAGCTCCCTGACAAATTTCTTGTCTCAGAGATTTTATCAGGTATTTGCAAGTTAATCTAACAGGTTTCTTCTGGCTTTAGGCTCTTTGATCTTGGTGCTCTCTACTAGCACCCCACATGAGTTTTGTTCTTTGAACATAATGCTTCAAATTGTTTAAATGGTTTGCCAACTGAATGACTACCTGTTCATTATCTTTACACTGATGTACAAAATGTCTTTAAATTTGGCATTTGAGAATCTTTCTAGAGAAAATTTTTGGGTGACATCAGTAAGTACATGAAAGCAGAATTTTTTTTAAAGCAAAACCTAGCATTTTTACTTTAAGGAATGGCCCACTTGGATTGCCTTTTTTTGGTTGTGCTATTCCACTTTTGTGTTTTCAGAATCCAAAAAGCTACTGAGTCTCTGAAGAGCTTTAGGCCAGCAGCTGAAACTACTTTTGAAGACTTTGTGGTGGACACTGCCAAGCAAGAAGACATCCTTGGTGACTTGTCCTTCCATTCCAATGGTAAATTCTGAGAGCATTAGGTCTTTCTCAAGCTTTAGCTGTAAGGGCTTCTCTGGAGAAAGGCAGAACTGCACAGGGCAGCAGTTGCAGAGCTCAGTGTTATGACTTGCATTGTTCCTTCTGTCTGCACGATTCAGAAGGCATTACCTGGCAGCAGTGTTAGCTTGAGCTTTCATAAAGAAGCTAAAACGACATTTCCTTCAGTACCAGTTTGCACTGGCTTCCAAAATATTGTATTTACATCACATTCAGTCTTTCTAAAAGCTTTTTATTGCATGACAGAAAGTAATAGTTTTTAAAGCTGCCAGAAAATAAAAGGCTCAAGCCTTTCAAAGTAAAAACAGAAAATAGGGGATTTATTTAAGTGTATGAACAGAGAACCATCTTCATCTACTCCTTTTAACTGAGAGAGTCAGATTCCCCCCTTTAACAGTGCTACAGCTCAATAATGGGGTTATCTCTTGATTTAAGACAGTTTTAAGAGGTGGATGCTTTAAAATGAGTTTCCTCCCAATATAGTTTTAACCAATCCCTTTCCACCCCAATAAGGAAAAACAAATACCAGTAGATAGAAGTGAAAAAAATAACACTTTACTAAAGAATCAAAATAGCAATGGGTCAAAAGTAACTGTAACAGCTCCTGGTTACAGAGTGCTTGAAATCTCACAGGGGCACAGACAGAGTTGGAATACAGTAACAGTTTGGTTACCCAGGACTGCTTGTATGGTTAACTCCAAAACAACATGTATCTAAATTTCAATGCTTTTTTTCTCATGTGTTCCAGGTCTGGAAATACCAGAAATCAATGAAGAACAGAGCAGGATGTACAACAAAGCTCTGATCAGCTGGGAATGCCCTGGGAAGACAGATTCAGCTGATATCTATGTTCTTGAATATCATAAACTTAATAAAGAAGAGGAGAGTGTGACATGGCAGAAGACTGAAGTTTGTGGCAAGAGCAAAGTATTATCTGATCTTGATGATGACAGCAGCTATGCCTTTAGAGTTCGAGGTTACAAAGGGTCCATCTGTAGCCCTTGGAGCCGAGAAGTTATTATGAGTACTCCTCCAGCTCCAGGTATGGGGTTTTCTTACGTCCGTCAGTGTTAAGAGCTGAAAGTAGTTTCCAGTAACTCCCAGATGTCTCCTACACTGTTACCAATTTCATAAATGCTTAGAAGCACTGTTGTAGATTAAGTCAGTAACATACAGAGACTGTTAACTTGCATGACATTCCTGGTAGCCTTTAAAAGTGGCAAATTCTAATGCCTGTATAACTTAAAATGTAGTTTATAAGCACAGAAGGCCAAATACGTAATTAAGCAGATTTTTTTTTTTTGGGATACTGCTTTTCAGTTTTCAGTTTTCTTTTCGATGACAAATGCGGGTACAACAATGATCATCTCCAGCTGAACCCAAGAAGAACCTCTGTGGAAAGTAGGGCTGGACTTCCTCTGCTTCTGGGATCTGAGCGCTTGCAGGTTGGATGCTTCACAACCCTGGATTACATCATTGGTGACACTGGGATTGCCAAAGGGAAGCACTTCTGGGCTTTTAGTGTGGAAGCCTATTCATACCTGGTGAAAGTAGGAGTTGTTCCTAGCAACAAGATACAGAAATTGTTCCACAATACCCCTGATGTTATCAGTCCAAGGTAAATTGCATACTCTTGCTTTAATGCATGTTTTACATAAGGGGATGGTATTTTGAAAAGGTAAATGAAGAGCAAGTCTGTTCTCAGTACACAAGGTGAACCTAAGCAGTGAGAAGTTTGAAGGATATGGTGTAAGCAGGTTGTCCCATTATAAGCAGAAAGATGCCCTGATTATCCAGAGTCCCATTTCTTTTTGGGAAAGAAGTCAGGTTCCTGTATATGTCAGGGAATGTCAGGTAAAGCAAGAAGGTTAAAAACAAGTGTAAGATTGAAGCAATGCTTGATTATCAGTAGTAAGGCTCTGCCTTAATTCCCTTGGCATACAAGGTCTGGCAGCCTTTCAGAGGAACAGTGTTCACTGTACATATTTGTATATTTTTGTAGTAGCTGTGTCACAGTGGATTCCAAGTCACTGGCTTACCCCAGGCTACATGCTTGTGTACTGTATTGGGGTGCTACTGAGCACAAGCCAAAGTACAGTGGAAAAACCAATAAAAAGATTTCCTTCTCACAATTACAGTTGTAGCAAGCCTGGATATGTGTGGGAACTGCAGGCAGGGAGGCTATCTCCTGGGGACTCTTATTCAGAAATTTAATGAATGTTTGGCTTCTTCCTGTATAACACAGGAAAATGTATCAGCACAATCTTGAGCTGCTTAAAGCCAGATGGAGCCATTTGCAAAATGAGAAATTAGATCTAAATTTCCTGATTTCTTTTTCCTTCTCCATGTAGATATCTGCAAAGTTTTAGCTGACACAGAAACAACTGCCTCCACAAGCATCCCAAAACTGAAATCCAAAGTAGGGAATGCCACTACTGAAGAATGTGTGCTTCTCCATGTGTCTTTATCTGAGAAAAGAGGTGGAGAGAAAAGCATGTAGACTGACCAAGTATGTCTGTAGATTCTCCAGTAACAGCTGGGAAACTGTTCAGGGAAGTCTTCAGACAGAGCACTTCAAAAAAAGCCCCCAAACTTAAACCACTAAAACACTACCTTTTGTTTTGTGAATTTTACAGATACTGTAACATAGCAGCATCATGGAAAACTCATAGGACATGTTCTTGTCTGTAAGGATTGGTCATATTTGCTAAGTTACTTCTCAAGTTAACTAATTTACTGTACCTGTAGGTTCATTAATAACTGCCTAGCATAAGCACATTTAGATACATCCATTCCTTAGTAAAGCCTTCTATGGTCTTGTCCTTATTGGAGTTGTTAATTGAAGTAACACAAGTGAAATCCCACCTACTAATGCCTCTTCTTTCCTGGCTAAGGTATGTATCACTGGTATAAGCAAGGCTTGGTGGGATGAGTCCTGTGACTGGAATGCCCTGTTAGTTACAGGCTCCTCAAAGGGACAGGGGGACAGATGAGGTGGGGGTGGCACTGTCTGTCACATAGTGTCTGGAATGTATGGAGCCTGCAGCTGGCAATGCTGCAGTTCAGAACCTCTGGGTAAGGATTAAGGGACAAACAAAGTGGATGTTATTGTGGGAATCTACTACAGGCTACACAGCCAAGATGAGGATTGATGAATTATTCTTTAAGGAGCTAAGGAATATCTCTACATCAACCAAAATTGTCTTTGTAGGGCACTTCAGCGTGGCAGATGTTAACTGGGAGCACCACATAGATGATACAGGTCCAGAGGGGTCCTAAAACACCTTGGTATGGGTACTAAGGGAATCAGCTGAGAAAGGTGCTCTCCTTGATTTTTTCCTTGTCAACAGAGAGGATCTTGTGAGCAAAGTGGAGATGAACAGCCATCTTGGCCACAGCAACCATGAAGCAATTGAATTTAAAATCTCTGTTGTCAGAAAGAGAAGTGCCAGCAAAACTTCAACTCTGGACATGAGGAGAACAGATTTCAGGCTGCTGAGGGTACTAATCAGGAAAGTCCTCTGAGAGACCACTGTTGAAGGTGCTAAGGTCCATCAGTGCTGGTCACATTTTAGCGACCACCTCCTAAGGGCACAGGAGCAGGCAGCTGCAAAATGTTATAAGTCAAGCAGGCAAGACAGAAAGCTGGCTTGGGTAAGCAGAGAACTTGTAGAGCTAAGGTGAAAAAAAAAAACAAAACAGTATGGCCAATAGCAGCAAAGTTGGGCAGTGTGGGAGAAATAAAGAGATGCTGCTTGACATTTGACGGAGAAAATTTATGTGGTCAAAGCCCAACTGGAGTTGAAGCTGGCCAGAACTGTAGGGAACAATAAAAAGAGTTTCTAAAAAATACGTTACTAGCAAAAGGGAGTCAGAAATATCATTGGCCTGTTACAGGAGGAGGATGGTCACCTCACTAAAAGGGACAGAGACAAGACAGAGATGTTTAATGCTTTATTGACCTCAGTTTTCAACACCAATGGTGGCCTTTGGGGGTCCCAGAACTCAAGGACCATGACTGTGAGAATGATAAACTCCCAGCCATTCCCAAATTTTTGCAGGATTTGGTGTTCCACCTGAATCCCCATAAGTCTGTGGGGCTTGATAGGATTCATCCTAGGGTACTGAGGTGGCTGATGTCATTGTAAGACCTCTCTCATGTTTCAATGGTCTTTGGAGGTGCTAGTCAACTGGAAACTGGCAAATGTCCCAGTTTTCAAGACTGGCAGGAAAGATGATCCTGGTAACTACAGGCTTGTCAGTCTCACTTTAATGACTGGTAAATTTATGGAGAAGATTATTCTGGGAATTACTGAACAACACCTGAAGGACAGTGCAGTCATCTGGGGAAAGTCCAACTTGAAAAACTTACTTTCCTTTCATGACACTTGTAACACACTGACCTGACCAAGGGAAGCCAGTTGGTGTAATCTCTTTTGATTTCAGTAAAGCTTTTGATGCTGTGTCTCCCAGGATCCTTCTGGACAAACTATCCAGCACACATCTGGATAAACACATCATGTGATGAGTGAGCAAGTGGCTCAGGGGTCAGGCACAAGGGGTTACAGTGACTGGGGTGACACCAGACTGGTCACCTGTCACTGGGGGGCTTCCACAGGGCTCCATGCTCAGCCCTGTGCTCTTCAACAGCTTCATAAATGGCTTGGACACAGGACTGAAGGGTTACTAAGTAAGGTCAGATGATACAGAACTGGGAGGAGCAGCTGACTCCCTCAAAGGCAGGAAGGCCCTGCAGAGAGGCCTTGACAAATGAGAGGACCGGGCAGGCACCAACTGCATGAAATTCAACAAGGGCAAGTGCTGGGTTCTGCACCTGGGATGGGGCAACCCTGGGTGTACAGACAGACAGACAAATGAATGACAGGCTGGAGAGCAGAAATGAGTGCAGGAAAGGGCCCTGGGGATCCTGGTCAATGGCCAGCTGAACAGGAGCCAGCAGTGCCCTGGCAGCCAGGAGGGCCCCGTGCCTGGGAGCATCAGGCACAGCATCACAGCCGGGCAAGGGAGGGGATTGTCCTGCTCTGCTCTGCACTGGGGCAGCCTCACCTCGAGTGCTGGGGGCAGTTCTGGTGCCACAACACAAAAAAGACATTGAGCTGTTAGAGAGTGTCCAGAGGCCATGAAGATTTTGAAGGGTCTGGAGGGAAAGCCTTATAAGGAGTGACTGAAGTCACTTGGATTGCACAGACTGGGGAAGAGGAGATTGAGGGGAGCAGAGAGGCAGACACTGATCTCATCTCTTAGGTGACCATTGACAGGACCTAAGGGAATGACATAAAACTGTGTCATGAGAGGCTAAGGCTGTATATTAGAAAAAGGTTCTTCACCCAGAGGGTGGTTGGACTCTAGAGCAGGCTTCCCAGGCAAGTGGTCCCAGCACCAAGCCTGACGGAGCCTAAGAGGCATTTGGACAATGTTCTCAGGGACATTTTGTAACTCTTGGGTTGTCCTGTGCTGGGCCAGGACTTGGAATATAATGTTTTTTGTGGTTTCCTTCTAATTCAGAATATTCTGTGATTCTATGATTTTTTTACCACCCAAGATATTTGGGTGATCATGTGGTGTTGCCTATCTTACAGAAACGTTCTTCTCCTTTCACATCACTGATCCCACTTCAGCATTTGACAAAAGCACGTGGGATTTTTTTTGTGTTCCAGATGCGAGCAAGACAGCGGTCATGACAGTGGGAGTGAAGACGCTTTCTTTGACTCATTGCAACCTTGCACACTGGTCACTTTAGGCATGAAGAAGTTCTTTATCCCTGCCACACCTACTGCTCCCAAAGATCCAGCCAGCAGAATCCTTCCCCTGCCATCGTGCTTGGGCATTTGCCTGGACTGTGACAGAGGCAGGGTAGGGTTTTACGATGCAGGCCGCATGAAGTGCCTGTACGAATGTGAGGTGGATTGCTCTGGCTTGATGTACCCAGCGTTTGCTTTAATGGGCGGTGCAGCAGTGCACCTTGAGGAAGCTGTCACAGCCACGGACAGGGAGTACCACGATGACATCTAGTGCAGCAATCTCTTCCTGTTGCTGTTCTGAGTCAGAAAATGAAAGCAGAAGAATTCTACCTTAGCTTTTAGTCCTGATAAATTATATTCCACCTACGTGTTGCTCACAAGCCTCTGGCCTGTGATTCTTTAAAATAAATGGTCCAGGCGCTTCCTGCACCAGAGGAATTCTCCTGCCTTTCTTGTGATCTGTGCAATGCTGTTCTCCACAGACTTCTTTTCCTGGGGGAAGCAGGGAACAAGTCTGACTAGCAACCAAAATTTTCTTTTCAGGACTAGCAACCAAAACTTACTCTTCGGGGTAGAAATCTGCCTTTTATTTAACTTAAATCCTTACACAGTCAGTTTTGTATTTAATGAAGTCAAAGCTGACAGTGTGTGATTGCCATTCTCCTTTTAAGAAATCTGCCTAAATGCCTCTGCAGGGTTAAATACTTTCCAGTTAAACCCTGATCACCAGTTGGGCCTTTCAGCACAGAATAGCATATTAAAAATATAATATTAAAGAGGAAGAAATTAGAAATGGTGTTGAATGTTTAACTTATACGTGGAATGATGAAGGTAAACTTGAATCTGATTGCATGTTGTATACCCTTAATGTGACTGTAAGTTAAAACTCAGTTCTGACACTCATTGTCATATAGTTGGTGGCATAATGGTAAGTTTATTTATTCTTCCAGGCTTTTACTCTAAGCTATCTAAAATAAAGTGCAATTGTACCTTAAATGTCAGAATTTGGAGTCAAAAATCAGAAATGTTTGCATGTGTGAATAATGGTACCTGGTATTTAGGCAAAAGCAAGTATTAAAGAAATACCTGATTTTAAAAAAAAAGAAAATATCTAGCAGCAGCTTGGGTTTTTCTTAGTAAGAATGTTGAAAATGCATTGGTTAAGTTTTGAGACCTAATTTCTGCCTTAAAGGATGTCTCCCTTAAAATTTCAGTTCCTCTAATGTTAAAAACTGTATCACATTTGCAGAATCATAGAACTGCAGGAACAGCTTGAGTTGGAAGGGACCTTTAAAGCCCATCTAGTTCCAACCCCTCCTTGCCATGGGCAGGGACTTCTCCCACTAACCAGGTTGCTCAAAGCTGTGTTCAACCTGACCTTGAACACTTTCAGGGACGGGACATCCACCACTTCTCTGGGAAACCTTCTCCAATGTCTCACCACCCTTATTATTAGCAATCTCTTCTTTATGTCCAACCTAATCTATCATTTTTAGGTTAAAACTATTGCCCCTTGTCCTGTCTCTCCAGACCTTGGTAAAAAAGACTTCCTCCATCTTTTTAAAAAATTCTTTTTATCTATTTGCCGGGGTCGGCTGTCACTTGTCTCTGCCCCAGCACGGGAAAAGGTGGTTCTGGGCAGGCCGCGCTCTCGAAGAAGGAGTCTGGACTCTTGCTTTTCGGTCTTCAGTTGAGTTTATTGTTCCTTATCTACAAAGTTTTTCTGTCTGTCTGTCCAGCCGAGGTCTGATCAGCAAGACAGCCAAGGGCACTCTCTCCCACCCACGGGGTGGTTGTCTCTTTTATAGTGAAAACTACGTATTAGATATTTACCTTCAATTTCCAATACTTTTCACCCTTGTTGGCAAGTGTACCTTCACCATGAACCAATCCCCACATGCCAACATCATCCTGAACATGGATGCCAAGGAGAAGAAAGAAGAAGGACAGGGCACACCCAAATCCCTCCATCTTGGGACTCCTGACCCCCATGTACAGAATTCCAAACCCCTCTGTACAAGGTTCAAAACCCCCCTGTACAGTGCTCCAAAATTTTTCCCTTCACCCTGTGATTCCTACTACTATGCTACTTAAACTTTTGTGGCCTGTAATTCTTTATATAAGGTTGGCAATTTGCTCCATGAATTAAGATCGAATTTCCAGGTGTCTTTGGCTTCCTGCCAGGGTCTCCGAGCTCCTGCCAGGGCTTTGAGACATTCAGGGCATCCAGAGATGTCCTGAGCTCTGACATCTATTAATAGGCCATAATAAGGTCTTTCTGGAGCATTCTCTATGCTGAATAACTCCATCTCTTACAACATCTATACAGGACAGATGTTAACAGCCCTCTGACAATTTTTGTGCCTCTCCTTTGGAACCACTCTGTACTGGGGGCCTCAGAGGTGAACGCAGTGTGTGCAAGCACACATTGCTGGTTCATGGTCAGTTTTTCATCCATGAGGATGCCCAGGTCCTTCTGTGCAGAACTGCTCTCCATCCCCCAGTCTGTACTGATAGTGGAGATTTCCTGGATCCAGGTGCATTACCCTGTACTTGGTGAACCTCATGAGATCCACATCAACACTGGTGCCAGGACAGACCCTTGAGGGATACTGCTCAGTACTGGTTTCTGCTTGGACATTAAGCTATTGACTGTGGTTCTTTGGGTGTAGCTATTCAGCCAATTTCTTATTCGCTGAACAGTCCATCCACTTAAACCCTTCTCTTTCAAGTTTAGAGGTAAGAATCTTGTGGGGAATCTTATCAAAGGCCTTACAGAAGTCCAGGTACATGGTGTCTCTTAGCTGTTCCCTTATCCAGTGGTGCAGACAATGGGTCACAGAAGACCACTAGGTGAGTCAGGCAGTTTTTGCCCTTGGTGAACTCTTCTGGCTGTCCTTGATCTCTTGTCTTCCATAAGTTTTGACCTATCTTCCAGGAGGATCTGTTACATGATCTTACTGAGAATGGAGGTGGACTGCCTCTCTTTATAGAAACCCATGTATAAAAAAAAGTAGGGTGTGTGCATTGTTGACTTGTGGAAAAATAAGGATCTAAAGTGAAGGATGTTTCTAGTAAGTACTTGGTGCTTTCTAATTTGGGGATATGCTTTCTAATTTGGGGATATGCTTTGTAATTTGGGGATAGTGTTGCATCTTGATGAATGTGTGTGAAGTATGCTTACTAAGTACATCTATACAGCTATAGAGCTGTGAAATGGGACCTGAAAATCACAATACAGTTAAGTGAATGTAGGTCATAATGCAAACCTTTTGCAGGCTTTGCTGTCTGAACTGTTGTACAGATCTGACCTGGAGTCTTCTCTCCTAAGCCTCTGACTGTGGCCACTGTTGGAAAAAAGTGTCAGAAACAGTTGTCTATGCCATCACGAGCATGACAGCCAGAAAGGCCCAGCAAGTGCAACTTCTCGTCTGGATCTCACCTGCAAATGTTCTGTCTTGATAAGGCTGTGTGAAAGTGCACTCCACAAATTCAGTGTGAGTTGTGTGACAAACACTTTGATGTCCCAGCAGGAGGTGTGAAGTACTGGGTACCTTTTGGAATTTTCTAGTGCAGGAGAAAAGACAAACTGTCTCTTACTGGTTAGCCTTCTTAGTAATTTCTTCTGTTTTAGATAGTTATCATTATAGCCTTTAATTTCTGTCATTCCCTCCCTTTCATCTTCCCTTTTACTGGATTGAAGCCATTGCTCTCTTCTTGCCTGCTGAGGCTGACTGAACAGTCTGTCCATAAGGCACTCTGTTGCTGTAAAGGATTACAAAGTTTTGTGTTTTCCTTCTTCTTGTAGTCCTAAAACCATAATTGTCTTTTATTTGGTTGATACCCAATACCATGTTCATGATGAAGCTTCTTCTGCAGCATTTTTCATGCAGTGTTTTCCCCACCTGGTGTGCTGTTTTGCATTTGTTTATGTTGATAATGCTTGTTTACCTAGTCACTAAGTTCTGAGGGCCTTTTGCAGCTCTTCAGTCACTTCTAGACTTGGATGTTCCCCAGTAGCTTAACTGGAAACACAAACATGCCCATGTTTTTGTTTGTTTGCTTTTCCAGGTCTTGGAGCAAACTAAGTTGTAGTGAGACTCAGAAGATCTCTCTGCTGTTAAGATTTTTTGTTCCTTCCACTTCTTTTCCCCCTCCAATATTTATTAAACCCCAAGCCAAGCACTGAAAACTCTTACATTAGTATACTCTGTTGAGTATGTGAGTCATGATCTTACGTGTGAGTGCAGCAGTCAGAGAGTGCCAGGAGAAAGTATTCTCACTTCAGTAGCTGTAACTTATCTACCACACCAAGAATCTGCTTAGGGCTGTTGGTTGTAGGGCTGAACTTTCTTTTCCAGACCAAATCTTCTTCCACAGATAGATGTTTCATTTTTGATTCCTTTGTTTCAGAAACTGGTCTAAATTAGAGCCTTTGTGTCATGGCTAGCCCTCCAAATTCCACATTTAGATTTTTTATAAGCATCTAGATTTGTATCACCGAACCTTTTGTTACTTTATGGAAATATTTGTAAATGGAACACTGTATTGCAGATATGAAGACAGTGTCTCAGACTCAATAATGTAAAAAAAGATTACTGGTTTGAGACTGTAGAAGTAAGAAATTCAGAATTTACGGGCTTTTTCTATTGGAGTTTCAAATTCATTTAACATGTCTTCTGCTATGCAATTACTTACTGTACTGGACAGAAACTGATGCTACTTTAAACATTTACCTTTTGATATGTCTGTTTGTATTTATCTCAGTCTGAATTTAAAAATTGATTTGGCTTTTGGTGTTACTTGAATACTTAGTATGTATTCCAGACAGTACTATTTGGTGCTTACTCCAGCTTATTAAATAAAAAACACACTGTCAAGAGGCACTGACAACACGCTGTGATATTTTTTCCACTACCATGGAAATGTCAACTTTCAGAAATACAGTTCAGCAGTACTTGCCTATCCAGACAATTATTTTTTTCAAGTTTCTCCCTATGAAACAGCACTTTACAATGTAGACTAAGCTAAAAATGGTGTGGTATTGTGTGGATCTTTGTGCAATATAGCTGTTTGGTGACTATGGTGTGACTTGCAAAGCTTCATACAGGTGTGAATCGTGTAGACACTTTTTAGATACCTAAAGCTTTAACAGAAAGGCCTTGTTTGAAAATATTCTGAAATGTAAAAGTGATGTCTTGGTTTTTTTTCAATAAAAGCTGAAATACATTATCTTAGTCATTCACATTATTACATCCCAGCTCCTAAGTATCCTGGTTGAAATAACTTTTCCTACAAAACATGACAATAGGTGACCTGTGGGGAGAAAGCATTTCTTTGGTTCTCAATTGTGCTCATATACCCATACCCTGATTTTAGGAGGACTAAAGAGTAGTTTGGACTGACTGCCAGGCTTTTATTTAAGATGCTGATGTTAGGAACTTGACTGCCTGAGCCTCCCTCCCTAGAGAGGGAAGGAAAATGTGCATCGTGAAGAAACTTGGCTCTTGAGCATTTTTAAGGGAACCTACCCTTTTCCTAGCAGAGGAAGCAGATGCTGCTTACCTCTTCAACCTGTACAGCTCTGCCAAATAACCTCAGGTTGGTGGACCTGCCCGACTCTTCAGTTCTGATTAAATCTGCATTCCTTGTTCCCTTCAATGTTTACACTAGTTGATGCTGTTGTTTGCAGGATGTTTTAAAATTCCCACTTCTGGTGGTTGTTGCCTTCAGGTCAGCTGCATGTGCATGTGGGAGCAAGAGAGGCTGTATCCACAGGAAATCTCCCATGAGCTGTGCCAGTGCAGGTGAAACAGCCAATATGTAGGTATGTATGCTCTAGGAGAGGCACACTGATAACTCCTGTGAAAGCAGGAGTGTTGAAACCAAGAGCAGTATTCTGCTGAATTTTCACAGAATCACAGAACAGTTAAGATGTGTAGGGACCTCTGGAGATCATCTAGTCCAACACCCCTGCCAAGGCAGAGTCACTGGTCATGGTTTAGGAATGATGTTCCTCACTTAAGTGTTCCCATGGAAACGGCCCATACATGTGCTGCTTTTCCCCTTCCCCACTGTGGCTGGAGAAGAAGGATGGAGAGGAGAATTGGAGGCACAAACAGGTAAAGATCACAGGTTGAGATAAGGAGAATTTACTAGGAAAAAAACAATGAAATAAGAAAATGAACAGCAACAACAGCAATACTAATAACAGAGTATACAAGACAGGTGGATAATTGACATGGGATTGCTCAGCACATGGAAGCCGGTGCCACCTGAAGGCACACCCGGCACACCTCGGTGAAACACCACACACCCCTCTATCCCCACTGCGCAGGGCATGAGCTGGTATAGAATAACCTGGCTGTGCCACTCATGGCTGCTGCAAAAGTTAACTGCCCTGGGTGGAACCAGGACCTTCACCCAGAGCCAGGGAGAACGGGAGCACTTCCAGATGGGTTTTGAATGTCTGCAGTGATGAAGACTCCAAAACCTCGCTGGGCAGCCTGTTCCAGTGGTTTCCCAGTCTCAGTTGAAGTTTTTCCTCATGTTAACATGGAACTTCTTGTGTTTGATTTTATGGCCATTATTTCTTGTCCTGTCACTGGGCACCACTGAAAAGAGTTTGGCACCATCCTTTTGACTCCCACATCTGAGATGTTTGGATTTATGAGG